ATTAAGGTTGGTATAGATGGCCACATTATACTCGTTCGATTTTTTATATTGCTGCATTAATATGTATTTCGCTGGATTGACTGGTCCTACGCACAAGCAGGATACTCCTTTTGTAGGCCTGCATTATTTATATGTATATGTAAAGTGGACAAAATACATTATTATTTTTATTATTACCAATTAGATAGTCTTGACCAAAAGAACCGTGAACGACGGAGTGACGCTCTCTCGCTCTTGTCGCAATGATAAATGGCTACCTTTCTAAAAAACCTGCTGGATTCAACCCTGTATTTTTGTATTCCGATTGCAATGTGAAAACTCGAGAAGTAGGATTGACTGCGAGCACAGTGAAATTACTTCACATACAAGCCTCATACAGTTATGGACAAAGCAAGCTGCCTTGTCCACGACGGTATATGGCTCGTTGAACAAGAGGCTCAATGAACAGCGAGAAATGGCAAGAGGACGCGAGTGCCAAAGACACTCGCATAAGTGACTGAGCCTTTTCCTTTTCCGCATATAGGAAAACTTCTATATGACTCGCCTTTATTCTTAGCTACCGCCTACTCACGCGATTGTTGCTTTTATTACCCAGGAGACTGCTCTAGTAAAATAAATTGTAGGTGTCTGAATAGGAAAACGTGATGATAACTATAATCAAGCCCAGTAGCAGCACGCGCGCAGCAACGACGTGCAGTTTTCAAAAAAAGTGTTGTGTAAAGCACATCTCAAAAATACTTCAAGTAAAGCAGTAAGTGCACTGGGCGCAATGCACTTGAAGTAAAGTACTATAAATACAATGCACTTTCAAAGCAAAGTACAACATTTGACACAATTTTTCAGGATGAAGAGATCATTACTAGGAGAATTCATGACGTCAACCCGTAGCTTCCGTAAGCAATTATTTGTTGGAGAAGTGTCCTCTACTAACATTTTCCTCCTCGCTTGCACTGACCGAGCGTGAAGAATCGAGAGTTCGAAATGCTGCAAATAGGCCGTCCCCAGTACAAACTAAGCGATTCGTCGTTTGCTAGCGTTTCTCGTGAGACTGAAATATCCCTCCCAGTATTTGTTTAGAGTTGACAAAGTATCAATTTGTAATATAAATTTAATATGAAAACTGTTGGGTATGTACTTAGAAGTCGGGAGTTGTACTTTGTTCGCAAAGTATCAGAATTTGTTTTTAAAAGTAAGGTACAAGTAAACTTTCGGAGAGGGTAATTTAAGTAAAGTACAAATTTTCTAAACCTGCTTGGAGTAATAATCTAAGTACAATGTACTTAAAGTACTTCCGAAATCTGTCAAGACAAGCAGGCGGAGTCATTTGACGAGTGTTTTCGGACAATCCCTAAAGAAATCCAAAAATACTTAAGGGTAAAATTTCGTCAGATTAGATCCATGTAAAAAAACCAAACATTTCAAGTGGCAACAAAAACAAAGAAAAAAAACACGAGATTCTGCGGATAAGTCTGGCCAGACTACGAGGAACTCTTTGCTTTTCAAGGTACATTCAGCACAACAGTTTATTGCATTTCTGTGTTACAACAAAAGACACTGGTGCGGTTTACGGCTTGGGCTACACTACTGGCGCTCCTTGGACAAAAAAGCCTTTTTATAAAAGTGAAAGCAATCCCCCTGGAGGTTTCATAGCCGGGTGAGGGGTCAGCTGAAGCTTCGATATTAGTACTTTCAACACTCCACCTAGCGCAGCCGCGTCATGGTGGGGCGAAATAGGATGGGAAGAAACCCCTGTGATAAAGGACACACATTTGTGATTTTATAATATTGACGTTCATTGAAGCAACAACTATTTGTAATTTTTGTCATGTGAGAGCAATGCGAATGCTAAATTCAACTGAATAACTGTCGTTCAATAGAACCGATGCTTTCTCAATCTAGTGAAATTCTTAGAAATTTAAGGTGTTCGGGTATTATTATTTATTTTTTCAATTTTCGAAAATTGGAAGAACAGCAAAATCAGACTCCATATCATGGAAAAGATAAAATCTAACAAAAATGCACGCGGATAAATTCCCAATGTATGGAAAAAATAAACTCTGAAAGTCACCTCCTGAATCTGCCAAAAAATAAATTCCCAATACATCCGCAGGTTAACTTTCCGCCTGAAGGCAGTGCCAAATATAGAAATATTAGCCACTGGAGAAAATCAGCCGTCTGCGTTAGGTCCATATTTCAAAATCTTTTTTCTTCACAGTTCGCCCTTTAAGAAGCACGGTGACAGAACCGAAGCATGCACCTGATTTTGCCTCGAACCCGCCTCCTCCCGCACCATAAAGTGCGTCCGTTATGGTCCTCGTCACCATAGTAACGAAGTGTCTGATGAATGTACGCACACACAGACACAGCCCCAAACCAGCAACCAGCTCCGCCATTTTCTGAATACCGCCTGCTAAAGCAAACGTAACGCAAAACAAATCTGGACTCGCCAGTGCGAAGGTCGACGCTGGGAGCGTGAAGGAGTTGTCTGCCAAACCCATGGTGGCTCTGACCGGTCCCGAAGAAGCTTGAAGCAAACTTGAGCCTAAGGATTCATAGCCCCCGAGAGGAAGAGGGCAAATAAAGGGGTAACCGTGCGCAGCAGGGTCTGTTTGGAAGCCTAGCTTGGAGCACCGAGCTTGCCTTGCCAGTTTGACATTAACAGACGGCATTCGGTAAAGTTGCGCCAACTGTTGGTGCCTTCAGACTTTGCATTCGCATGCGCGTCTACTCACATATGGGACGCACGCAAAAAGTGCTGTAATGCACCCGCAGCCTCGCGCTTGGTGTTCTCGCATTTCTGCTCTATCACTGTGGGCATCCAGACATCTGACGCCCAAGTATCTGACGCTGTTTTTGTCTCTCACGTCGCGTTCCAAGCGGCGAACAACGGCAAATGCACACCAAGCTAACACGTGCCGCCTTGTGTGTTAGCTATTAAGAAACTGCAACTTGTAGTAACTGTATTGAAATTTTTTTTAGGTTGAATACTAAATGTCGCGTGTAATCTATAAATATGCAAGTTCTGAAAATGTAATGTGGAAAGATGCTTCGTAATTTTCATTAGATGACGCGATTAAATTTTAAAAGCACGAGAAATCAACATATTTAAAAAATTTTTTTAAATAAACTTTTTCTGTACAATTTATCGTATATTTTTTAATTCATCATATTCGATAAACCGTTTACATAAATTACAATAGAAGTTGTAACGACTTAACTTGACAAAAAAAAGTTCTATATCTGATACCGTGGCCCACTAAAAGTTAAACAGCCTAGGATAAACGTAATACCGCATCATTGAAGTATAGCTAAATAGCGAATTTTTAATTTGACATTACATTTGTGACTATAAAACAGGAATAAAGTCATAAACCGTAAAAAAAGAAGCAAAACTGCATGAGCGGTGGGGAAGCATCTTAACAAGCAAAAAGCGCCGAAAAATACAGGGACACAGACGAAGGGAAACAGGACAAGCATCTTAACTCCGACTCACACAACTGCATCCAGCCGCAGCCGCTCGATTCTGGTTCAGGGATTCGGCGATCTAGCAACATCCCATGTCCCCGCCAAACCCGCCTGCCAGCTCTGCCAGCTGCCCGACGCCAGCCGGCTGTTCGTTCAGTTCACACACATTCTATCAACAAAAAGCGCGGGCGAGGCTGGCGATTGCCGTGACGACTGCTTCCACTTTACTTCTCCGCCAACACTTGCACGGCCAACCACCAGGATCGCGACATCCGACAGCATGACATTCAGGCTTTTGAGGCGTCATTTGTTGCCACTTCGGGACAGCTTTCGATGCATGGGTGTACGGTATTAGCCGATTCACGCGACGGTTTGATCGGCGGACAAATTGATCACGTGACGACAAGACGACGAGCAGACGCCAGCCAAGACGGACCGAACCTGTTCGACACTCCACAGAGCCACGAAACTCTAACATGGCACCGTGGCATCGTTGTCCAGGAGAGAAATGGACGTTTGCTACCCCGATAAAGAATCGTACGCCGCTGTTACGTACATACAGGTCGGGACTGAACGCCGCTGTGAGAGGCTTCGCGCGAGGCGCCACTAGCTTTACTGACCCAAGGCATGACAGTGATAAAAGTGTGGTTTTTCTCGAGTAGGCTTCGGCGTAGAAGCGATAAAGTTCTGGGTTCGCGGAGGGGAGTTTGGAAATGCTTTCACTCACTCCGCGCCCGTGCTTAACACTTCAGTACACCAAAGCCACAAGAGACGTCTTGCTCAGTGAAAGGCTGGTTGGACGAGCGAAAATAATCGTGGCCTGCTAGACCAGTTTTGACGGGAGCTTCTTGACACGGACCCGGAGGAGCACCGGAACGTGCGTCGCGTCAGACGGGCAAAGTTTCTGCAGTTTCTTTCACGCGTGAAACCGAGAATCGCGCGGCAAAATTAACCAGCTAATGCACAAATCACTACAATGCAAATTTTTGTTTTAATTGTCCTGAAAAACAAGAAAACCTCATACCTTTGCCCGACTAAATGCTTTTCAAGTCAATCTCCCGCTAAAAATCTCCGAGTGAAAAGGCACTCGACGTTATCATTCCGCGCGTCCGCGTACGAGGCGCGGTTCGCAGGAATCGGCGAACTGACTGCCACGTGGTACACGGTCCGCGGAAGAAAATCGTGATTCGGTCCGTCCTGTGAATCGGCTGGATTGTACTCTAAACACACCAGTCGGAAACCCTTTCCAGGCGCCATAGTTTAGCCATGCGTAGTTTATTTACGCGGGTAAAAAAAAAAACACCTCAATTTATTTCCTCTCTCGGATTCCGCAGTATGTTTTCCCAAGGTAAACATTCACCTAGTATACTTATTTTTTTTTTTTTTTTTTTAAGTTGAGTACCTTTGTTTCGGGCAAAAGCCATTGGGAGGGCATCAAACTTGCCGAGCATGGGAGCAGCGACGCATGCTAGCGTAAGGCACGCCGCCACTCTTCTCGTATTCGAGCGTCCCGCCGCCGAAGCGCGCTCGACTCTTGCACTCCTTCCTCGCCGGAGTGGAAGGGGCGCCTGTCCGCGTGCGAGCGCAGCCAGCGCAACGTCGGCAGAACCGATCGCGACGTCCGTCCGACAGGATCCTGCGCCTCTCCCTGGCCATCCTGCGTGGGAAAGCCCGCTGCTGCGAGTGCCCGGGAAAACGCGCTATGCCGTCGGAGTGCCGCGCCGACTCGTAGCCGTCACCCCACGAGCCTTGGATTGTACCGCCTGATCGCTCGAGGAGCACTGCTGCGAAGCCCCGTCATGGACACCAAAAAGCCCGATGAGAGGTGGGTTCCCGTTACAGCTCGTCCAACGCCTATTGTTTTCCGTGACTCGCACGGAAGCGGCTCTGTCCTTTTTTAGTGGTTGCTGCAGCTGGAGTCTCTGGCAGCTCAAGATACTCAAGGCTTGGGCACTCACTCCTCTTATCATCACCCTGTAGCCAATGAGGTCGCTCCCCTTTAGGCGGGAAGAATGCCCAAGATATACTGATGCAAAACTCTCGAAACATTTACTATCGATTGTTTTTGGAATAAATATCGATAGTGTCGAAAACCATCGATAGTTGACTCTCCACAGGTGACTTTTGATAGTTATTTCTCGATAGTAGTAATAATAGTCGACTGTCGATAGTGTCATTAATATACAATCGATAGTGGACTACGGTTGACTACAAATACTATCGAAAGTAAACCGTCAGAAAACTGTCGAGTGATACGAAAATGAAAGCACAACCCAAAAAGGGAAATGACAACGAGAAAACCACGAAACCCAAAGAAAATGAAACACAAAGTTGCATTTTCAAACAATGAATTTTGTAAGGAAACAGAAATGGCTTTTAGCTACTTTTCCTGCGTACCTATTTTGTATATTGCTAGGGTTCAGATATCAGGCCTCGCACCGTATCATGCCCGCATTTGTAAAAATAAAAATACATTGAGTTTTCTTTTGTTTGTCTTGGAGCTAAGGAAAACGCATTCCCGAAAGTCGGGAATTAGCTGTTGACAAAAGCCGCTAGGCTTGTTTGACGTGATATATTGCCACCCCTTCTTCTGTTCTATGTTGGCGGATTTTAATAGCGGTGACTGGTAAATGTATAAGCAAATATTTCGAGTCAATAAGCGTAACAATTATTTTATTGTGGACACTTCCAATTGAACATTGCCAGATAAAAAGCTTATACCAACCCAACATGGTTTGTTACTGGTGCTTTTTCTCCCATTCTTGAAACGCAATAAGTGTGCGGACATAAATTAACTGAATAAAAATAAATAAGAATGATTGTTTTTGGTGATCCAAGTGACAATCATTGTGGCAATGAGGTAATTGTTATCGGAAAAAAAGCTTTTGAATTCAAAGGAATATTATTGTCTTTCTCTCAACCTATTTGGTCGGAAAAATCGCTACACATATCTTTTCACCCGAGTAAAGTTGAGTCCCAATACTTTCGCATTCGATTAGCATCGTTAGCATAATATTTAAGCAGGGCTTCGTATTTCTGCGACCGTTACTTTATTTATGAGTGCCGACAAAAGAATTTTCATTTTCCTGATTGAACTCTGCCTATACAAAACAAAATGCAAACACCAGAAAGCATTCTAAAATAGAAAAAAAAAACTTCGACAACCTATCAAGAAATTAATCGATATTCCACTATCGATATATTTTAGACATTATTTTTATAGTATACTATTGCTATATCTTTATATTTTAGTGTCAAAAGTTTTTTATGGGGGATCTCCACCGTTTTCCGATTATTTTCCGCTAGGTTTTAGAATGTTCCTCGGTAATTATGCGGAGGTTCTTAATTGCAGTCGCGTTTTCCTCCAGGCTTCACGATGTTTCCTGGATGAATTCTTGGCGTTCTTCTTCACCTTCTTTACGATAGTCCGCTTTTTGTACTATACTACTTAAAGTTTCAGGATAGGTGACTATCGATTTTACTATGGATAGTTTTACGATAGTCATTTTCTTCACTATCAAGAGTTCGATCTGTCTTCCACTTTCAATAACATCGATGGCGCAATCGATAGTTTTGCACCACTACCAAGAACGAATCGCAAAGCAGGACGAAGGAACAAAATATCCCTGCGTTCCTTGAGTTGTCAGTGAAAATGAACAAGTTTGCGCCAAATAATGTGTGCAATATTAAAGTTAGGACTATTCTACAACTCAAGAAGCGCAAGGCGTGGTTTAATGCTTCGTGGCTTGGTCTTCGGCCCCGTCTTGACGTACAATCTCCATGGCTGCGATAAGATGTTAGAACACAGTGTTATTACTCTGGTCGAGCTAGTTAACATCACACATGGTTCTAAACCGGAGACGGACGGACGACAAGAGGACAAACACACACATCTCAAATGCAGCTGGATACATTTTATTCACACGTCATGTTTTATATGCCACTCCCTTACACAACCTCCACCGGGTGTGCACGCGTCCATACGGCCAGCGCCACGCCCTCCATAGGACACATCCAATAGCACAAAACGCAGACTTCTCTAACAAAAGCCTATCAAGGTCGAGTAAAACCTCAAGATTTTATGCAATGTTGCCCTTTTCCCTTACCCACGACTTGCAAAAGTAAAAACCGCTGCTTCGCCGCTTTCCAATGCGATTGAAGGTTGGCTAATACAATTTGCCGCCGTAGCCATTCCTACTCGTCTCTTTTAAAACCCTTACTGTACCATTTGTGTCTTTACTCAACGCAATAGTGCCCTCCAACACCAGCAAACTATTATTACACTCTTCCGCGTGCCTTGAAATGTCAAAGTTGAATGCATTATTTTTAGCAGCCCCCTTATGCTCGAGTGATCTTTCATTTAAACAACGCCTTGTTTGCCCGACGTAGAGAACCCACAGGCCATTGCAATGCCATAAACAACACAAACCAGGTAATTTACGTGGTCTTCCCTGTGCGTTCTTAAACAACCCTGAAGTCCCCTTATAGATGGCGTCAGCCTGCTCAACTTGTCGTCTGTTATAAAGACTACCTTTAACCATAACCTATTCGCAATCGCCATCATATTGTGCAAAAACACGTGAAAAAAGTGAATACACCCGACTCGGTGTGGTTTCTTCATTTTTTTCGTTTCCATGCAACTGGGAAAGTTTGTAATTTAAAGCTACTCCTCAACAATGTTATTCAAATAACCCTCATCTTTCAAGCGTAACAGCTTATGCTTAACTGCCCCAGGCACCTTGTGTTGACAGATTGCTTAAAGGTGTTGCCTAACAAGGATGCCACTACACCACGTTTAACTGACTTTGAATGGCAACTCTGGAAAGGTAACGAAGGTTTCGCTGAAGGCTTACCATATTCTTAGTACAGCCCATCTAACGTGCTTAACCTCGTAACCAAGGAGAGCAACGCTCGCCAACAAGTTCCGTGCAGCTGAAAACCAACTCAACCACCGCCTGCTCTATGATAAACTTGACCTTGGGAAGGAGGCCCTCTAGATCTGGACATATTGAAATGTCATCGATGTATCTCTTTATTAACACTAACCCTAATGACTGTACCAAATGAATCGGATCTGGATAAATCTCGGACAGAACCGGGGCCAGTGACGACCGAATGCTACCCGTTTCTGGGTAGAATTAATCCCGTGAAATTCAACAGCTGTAAACCGCAAATCTAAAAAAAAAAAAAAAATCACAAGTTTTTGGATGGTACTCAAACACGACCAAGTTGGCCTCTAACAACTCCATTACGCTCTTAGAGCAAGAAGGGCTGACGAACAAGGTAGTACAAGTCTTTTATACACCTAGACATAACCTCGCACTTCTGGTCTTAACTGCCTAAAGAATCACCAAGCTGTGGTAGTCCGATTGTTTTGGAAAACTCAGAAGGCCTTGTTGATTGTTTAGGTAGTTTTCACCAGAAAAAGTGCGAGGTTATGTCAATGAATATAAAAGACATGTATTACTTCCTTCATCAGCCCCTGTTGCTTTCAAGTGTAAGGGAGTGGTTAAAGGCTAACTTGGTCGTGTTTCCGTTTTGTTCGGATATCGACGTGGGGAAGGTTTTGAACTTGACTTGTCTATGCTGACTACAAATGTCAAATTCGAAGGCGGTAATTTTGCCCAGAAAGGAGTATGCCTAGGGTCGTCTTTGGCTTCGGCCCTGTCCGAGATTTATCGAGCTCCGTTACTTTTGACCGTGTTGCGATACGTATAGAGGTTGCCTAATCGGTTAGTATTAGTTAAGAGGGGCACCAATTATATTTTAATATGTTCAGTTCAGAGGATGCTAGACTCTTTCCCAAGGTCAAAAGGGCCATGGAGAAGTCAGAGGTTGACTTGGTTTTCAGATGGAAGGAACCCTTTGAGGGAGCGTAACAGTTCTTAGATTTGAGATGAAGTATGTTTGATGAGCTGTGCTGGGAATATGGCAAGCTTGCGACGAAATAGTTTTACCTTTCCAGAGTTGCTATTCAAATTTAGTTAAACGTGGTGTTGTGGCGTCCTTGTTAAACAATGCACTCAAAAAATCTTGTCAGCAGAAGGGTGCCTGGGCCGGTTGACCATCAGTTGCTGCGCTTAAAAAAGTTCGGGGTATTCGAATAACATAGTGGAAGGGGTAGCCTTAAAATTCCTAAAGTGTAGTAGTTGCATGGAAAAGAAAACGAAGGGGAAACCGGACAGAGTCGCATGTATTCTGTTTTTTTTTTCATGGGTAATGAAAAATGAGGGCGATTGCGAATATGTTCTGTCTAAAGGTAGTCTTTACTAGACTACAAGTTTAAGAGGCTCACACCATTTTTAAGAGAACTTTAGGGTTGTTTAAAAATTCACATCAAAGCCCCTATAAAGTGCCGGGTTGGTGGTGTTGTCTATGGTAATGGCCTGTGAAGTCTTTTACGTCAGACAAACAAAGCATTGTTCAAATAAAAGATTGCTCGAGCAGAACAGGGCAGAACAGGGCTGCAAAAAAATAATGCATCGAACTTTGAAACAGCAAGGCACGCGGAAGAGTACAATAATTGTGTACCAGAATGGGAGGACACTATTGTGTTCAGTCAAAAGAAACTTTCTGCAAAAAGGGTCTGAAATTATACAATTAGGATTGATTCTGTAGAAGAAGGTGTTAGCCAACCTTCAATCGCATTGGAGGCGGTGGCGCGGAGGCTTTTAGTTTTTAAGGGGGAGGGGGGGAGGAGAGAAGAAAGGAGAAACATTCGATAAATTATTCATGTTTTACTCGACCTTGGCATGGCTTTTGTTAGAGATATCTAAGTTTTGTAATACTGACTGTGTTATGGAGGGCCTCGCGTTGGCTGTGTGA